TGAACGAATGCATTAAGAGGATTAATTCTATTAAATAGCACTCTCAAAATATAAATTTAAAAGGTCAAGAAATTAATAAACAAATATTCATAGCTACCAAACCAATTCTTTAAGTTTACATCAACATATACTAATCATGTCATCACCTAGCTTGGAAATTAAACAACGTTATCCATTTCAAACAATCGAAACTAAGATTACAGTTTTTTAAAAGGTTAATTCAACAAAACCATACATTTTTAAGCTTAGATATTGTAGGCTCAGTATCAAAAAATTAATAAATATAAACAGAAATATCAAGAGAATATTCTTATTAGTAAATTTTTAAATGATTTTACTAAAGAAAATATTTTCTTAGTATATACTGAGAGAATTACACTAAGAAAAAAAATAATAATTTACTAATAAAATTACAGACAAAATTTATTCTGTTAGTAAATTTGTTGGTAAATTGTGAATATTGTTCATTATATCAATTACAAAGGGAATCACTGATGAAATTTTTTGTCGATATTTTCCAAAGAGCTCTGGAACTATTCATTTTTTAATTACACTGTTAATTGTTGTTCTTTACAGACAAAATCACCGACAAATTGAAAAATAGTTAGTGTTATTTGATAATTTTCTGAAAAAATTCAATTAATTTAAAATTTTCATGTAAATATTAGAGATGGAATCATCAATGGATTGAAAAATTACCAGTGATTATTTGCAATTATTAAAAAAAATTATGACATTGAAAATTTAAATTAAACATTACCAATAAAATAATTAAAAAATATTAATATTTAATTATTCGTTGGTAAAACTGTCACTAACACGCCCCAATAAAAAACCTGAATCCCACAAGAGACAGACTCATTTCTTTTTCTTTTTCTTTTACTTCTTCTTCTTTTCACTATATGTAAAAAACATTAATATTTATTCCTTTCTCTTCCCTGCTCATCTTCTTTTTTATGCTCGGATATGTTTTTTTTTTTTTTTTATTTAGTTTTTTTTAATTAATATGCTTTAAAAAAAATTTTCACATCTCATATGTGATTAGATGAAGTTGTAGTATCGTAATATGATAGAGATTTGTCAAAGTACGGACAACTCTCATGTTAACAGCTTGGGAGTGTAATTTGATTGTTTTTCAAAATATTTTTTATATAAAAATATATTAAAATAATATTTTTTATTTTTTAAAAATTATTTTTAATATTTATGCATTAAAATGATTTAAAAACACTAAAAAAAATATTAATTTAAAATAATAAATAAAAATATTTTAATTTTTTTTAAAATATAAAAATAAACAGGTATTAGCTCCTGTAGAGGTTTCCTATGAAA